AAGTGTGCGCACACTGACCTGCTAGAGTTCTGAGGTAGCCATCATTCCCACGGGTGACCTTGAACTCAGTCCTCATATTTGTCAGTAGGGCGGACTTAACGAGAGTATGAAGAGAGAAGCATTCCAGAATGTGCAAGAATTTACCCTCTAGAACGGTGCAGTGGAAGTGCTTTTGTTGTGAAGTGGTAGATAACTCCAAGGAACTTTTTACGAAAGAATCAGATCTTCCTGCTAAACAATACCTGTCCTACGATGCAACCGTGAGGCAGCAGTTGTTGTCAACCAGCATAGTACTCACATGTCAAAAACAGTTACATCCTTCCCATTACCTTTATATTTAATGATTCCAGGACCCTTACAGTTGATCGACGACTATCAGCTTACGGTAAGTGGTCTCAACTCCTCCTTCTAACCCTCGAGACTTTGAAGGAGCCAGTTGATGGGTCTGCACCATAGGTTGGGCGAGGGTACTTGTGTGGCTTCCCCCAAAGCTCGTTTCAGTGACCTGAAGTAACTCGTGGGGATTTGTAAAATGGGGGCATTTGGAGGCGCTTTCCACAGCTGTTTGTCTTTATCCGAAGAAATTTCTCCAACTTCTTCGATTATCCCATTGCGAATAAAACCTTATTTTTTTAAATAAAATATCCTTATTTATCAATTGCCACATGAATAGGTAAAGTGACAAATTATCCTTTGCCACAAGAGGTAAGCAAGTGAGCCTTGGCAGCACATGCTAAAACGACAAAGCTGACTGAATACCGCCAAGGTACCACCGTTTGTCCCTAATGTGACTGTTTACGGTTAGGCGTAGATGAGCGTCCAAGTGCCGAACAAGCAGCGCCGATATGCACCCCCACTCCTTTGGCACTCCTCGTAAAGAAAAAACAAAAAACAACTCCTACAAGACGACAATTAGGTGGTTAGTTTCACTGGTTAGAGGAATTCCCTACAACCGACAAAGTAGCGCACGTAGACTCATCACTGACCCGCGGACTGTCCTTGTTCCTGTGCCTATTTTTAGAGGGGGGTGGGGGAGAGGGTGGATGTGGCTTTTAAAATGATCTGATGGCAATTTTGTCACCAGATGGCAACCCATATTCGTGTTTTCTTTTCCCACAAAACCATGCAGCCATTATCATGAGTTTGAAATGACTAGAAATACTACGATTAAATTCAGTACTTTAAGATAATGTCAAGCTGAGATTGAAGAAAAAGATCCTCAAAACCCACTTCCACTATTCATGGAGTATTTGTGGTGCTACTGAATTTTGCTTCGTTAAATACGCAATAGACATAATTCATGCATCGTTGGTTCTAAGACTCTCGAATTCAATTTCCCTCACACTACTACCCTTTAAGTCCAATTAGCTAAATCTACTGGAAATCCAAAGTGTGGCTCTGAAGAAGTGATGCAGTTATAGCACTAATTTTATTATATGAAGCATTTAAGCCTCTTCACCCTTCGCAAATAAGCAGAAACCCTCAACAGGGCAAGAACCTTAGTAATAAGCAATTCACAATTCTCCTTTTCACCAGGATTGTCTGCAACTCCGGAAAAAAAGTTTCTGTTCGGTTTCCCAGCTACTTGCATTTATTTGCAAATTTCACCAACATTCCGAAATCGGCATTGCCCTTATTTCCCTCCTAATTGGCTGAGACGGCGTCTGCATGCACTTTAATTGCGGTAGCAATCCCTCTAAGTTCAAGGTCAAACGGTCGATACAACTGCGCATGACCGAGGCGACTGCGTGACTCAGCCTCGGACAGCCTTCGCTGGATAGACGTCAGGTTCGTATGCGCATGGCACACGTCGCCGCTCGATAGAGTCTGACCACTCGCACATGAACTCCAGACCACCAAAATTGGTGGAGTTGTTTACAACATTGTCGCGATTCCAAGTGGGAATTCACAAATCCGACTAGAAGAAAGGGAATTCCGAGCAAACCTCCCACAGTTTGCGTAGGCGTCTCGATTCCTGAAATGTGATTGGGCGAAGTCCCGATTCCGTACTAGTCAGTCGTAAATGTCGCCGCT